GAGGGTCTGGGTCTGTGCACAGTGGGATTTGGGATGTCACCCTCACCAAGCATCACCACAGACCTTTGCCTTGCTCTGGGCATGGATGTGTTGCACCAGGGCTGGGGACAAGCATCGGCGCCCTCGCCCATCTCACCTGTGCCTGGGATGCCAGTCCATCTCTCCCAGTGCTCCTCCTTCTTCCAGTGGCTTTTAAAACCACAGGCTAACCCAATCAGCTGGAAAATGTTTTTTTCCCCCCCTTCTTCTTTCTTTTAACTTTTTTTTCTCTTTGGACCACTTCTTGCCTGCAATCAGCCCATGGGGAGGAGGAGGCTGGTCATTGCGCAACCTGAGTGCAGGGACAGCTGTTCCAGAGCCTTTGGGATTAACAAACAGGAGGTTTAAATGTCTGGGAAGAAGAAATGTGGTGACCTGTGCCTGGAAACAGAGCCCTGGCTTCTTGCTTGGGTAGATCCCCAGCTCCTGGCTCATGATATGAACAGAAAAGCCAGTTTAGGTAATTGGTGGAGATTGCCATGACTTTATTAGCACTGATGCCCTCCCCTACAGGAGGTTTGTATTGCTGAGCAAAACAACCAGTGCCCATAAAGACACAAAAATAGGCCCCATTAAGTGTGGTGGGGTTTTTTGTTTGGTTGTTTTTTTCTGTTTGTTTGTTTTGTTTTGTTTTGTTTTTTCCTTCTAATAAATTCTTCCAGCCTTTTGTGAAGGTTTTTCCAGCCCTCAAATTCAAGATTAATTGAATTTAGGGGCCAATAGCTGCATCTACTGCTGGTGGTGGGGGATCATTCTGTGTGGAGATTTAGGGCACAGTGCCCAGGTTCCAGCTCTGAGTGGTACCTGGTGGGATGGGCAGGGCTTGGGCACTGCATCACTGCAGGATGGGCAGAAATTGGTACTGCCAGATCAAAATCAGGCTTTGGGAGCACAAGCTGGAGCGTCCTAGAGGAAGTCTGATTTGGGGTTTTAAAAGCAGCAGCTGTTGTCAGCTTTCTTCTCTGGAAGCTGGAAAGAAAAACTGCTCCTCCCCAGGCCTAGAGGTCACCTAACAAATGGGAAAGTCCCCAAAAACATGTCCCTGGCAAATCTCAAGGCTGCAGAGAGGAGTGCCTGTTGAATCAGAGAGAATTACAAAGTGTGTTATCCATGGAGGAAATGGGGGCTTCAGATAAAATAGCACTGGAGGAGGGGAAAACAGGAAAAGGCTCCATTTGGACTCCAAAACAGAAAGGAAAAGGTTAAGCCTAAAGTCAAGGAGAAGGGTGGTACAGAGTTAAAGGCAAAGCCAGGAGACAAAGAGGAGAAGAGAGGGGCCAAAGCAAAGGGGAAGGACAGGAGGGAAAGGACAAGGAGAAGCTGCCTTGCTGCTTTGCTCTCACCATCCTCTCTTTATGATGGGAACTGGGAAGGAGAAGGTTGGAATGAACAAAGTTTTCTTATTTAAATGATGGTGTATTGATAGAGGAAAAAGAAACGTGCAGCAGTTAATCATTTAGTATTTCCAGCAGGTAAGACCAACAGGTAGGGCCGTGTCACTGCCAGGGTGACAAAGGAACATCTCGGCACCCGGGAGCCCAAGAAATCCCTTTGGGGGTTGTCTTTTCACCGTGCCCAGCTTGTTATAGGTACCCAAAACTAATGGGGCAACTTGTGTGTCAGTTCATTGCCATTGTCATCAGCCAGATTTATGCTGCTGAAGCCAATGGTTTGCTAACACCAGGGAGACACTAAAGGTCCAGAGGGACTGGATGAGTTCGTGGATCTTGTGGAGGAAGAAATAGTTTCTGCCTCTAAAAAAAACCAGTAAAAATTAAATGATGCTTTGCAGAGCTGTTCTTCACAAGTAAGGCCTGCCCTTTATTATGTGTTTTGTCAAAAATCCAGTTAGTCCCAATAAGGGCTTGTTCCAGCTTTAATGCCCTAACAGGTATGTGTCTGCTGAAATCACCTGAAATGCTGGGAGCACAAATTCTTTTTCTGTCTTTCCTACAAAGAATCTCTTAAGAGATCGCTTCTTATGTTTAATTATAGATTGCACGAAGCAACAGAAGCATGCAAAGCCTTAAACTGGGAAATAAAATCAGTTTTTTCCAACTTGAAATTCTCTAGTTCAAGTCAGCATATTCATCTCTCTGGATGCATCTTGTGGTTTTACCTACAGGGGGTTTTGGGTTGGATTTTCATCACTGAGGCCTCAGCCTCCCAAAACCCAACTGAATCACCCAGCTAGAAGGCAAGACTCTCCACCCTCATCTGCAGTGATGCTCTGACAGAATTCCTTGTGGATGACACGACTGGAGAGCGATGAAGCACCGCTTCCCTTGGCACTTCACCAGAAACGGCCTCAGCAGGACCGTCTCCAAGAGGTTCCCCATTCCCACATCTGGATCCTTCTTCTGGCACCCAGCAACCCCACCATCCATTCACATCTGCAGTGAAGGTAAGCAGGGCATTCCAAAGGTGGCTTCTCCCAAATGATGGTCCTCTCCTACCACTCCTGGCATCACCGTGCTGGTGGGTTGGGAGAAAATCTCCAGTTGAAGTCCTACCAAGGAAATCCAATGCAATAATCCTAAGGATAGAGCTGATTGCCCATCAGCTTAGCACGTTGTTTTCCTTGCTCGCCTTTCCCATTGTGCTCTGGCTTCTGTGGCAGCTTGGACAGCAAGGTCTTCAAGGCAGGGATTACCTCCTGACACAGGTTTTGGGTTGCTCAGCCCCTGGGGCCCCAGCTGAGTATAATCCACGCACAACCGGTGTTGCAGCAGTCCCTTCCCTGGGCTTGGCCTTGGAGTCCTATCCAGAAGGAAAGAATAGCTGGACACAGCAAATGGAAACAGCAACAGAAGGTGTGTTCCTCTGTGTTGATCAATGGCCCATCCCTGGAATTGTCCAAGGCCAGGTTGGA